TAGTAAAATTGGGACAAGATGCTTTGTGATCTGAACTAAGGAAAAGTTTATTTTTATTGAGAAAGATATGGTTGTACAGAATATTGTTGCTGTGGGTAAGAATGTAAAGGGAATAAGAAAAGAATGCAGTAAATTTGCAATAACGAAGGGAAATATATGAATATTATTTATAAATATGTGGGAATTGTCTATCTAAGCAGGGATTCTTACAAGAGATAGTAAAGATGCTCTGATTAAATTGCCAATACATGAAGTACATGAAAATAAGGGATAAATGCTGATCATATTCCACAACGAATTGTTATAATATAAAATTTACAAAACGTTAACTTCTAATCTTATAATTTATATTAATTTTTGATATGGTTTAAGAAAACTTAAAGGAATTTTACATATTTTATAATTTTAATATCTATATTATAAATACGTGTAATAAAAATACATAATTGTGTATAAACATAAAATTGACCAGATTTATACGTTAGTTGCTATTCTATAAACAGATGAGTACTTTTAATAAGTATGTTTAATAAATGTAAGAAAAGAATGTTATTTTATTAATCTGATTACTATTAAATGTAAATTGTTACATAAATATAATTCATTAGCATTTGCAGTTGTTACATTTGAATTGTAAATATTACTGTAGATGGCGATTATTATTAAATGCTTTTAATAATAATTGATGTCAAACTTTTATTAACGAAATATTTTCAGATAGCAATATTTTATAGATATTATAGAACATCCCGAGGGACCAACAAGTAAATAAAGCTTGGACGTTTGTAAGTCGCTACGGTTATTCTTTAACCTCTCCATTGAAATGTCCGTCCTCGTGAACCTTCGGCGAAGTTAATTGTCTCCGACTGAATAGGGACCAATGAAACGTTAAGGAAGGTTCGGAGGGGAAAATTCAGAGGGAAGTGACCGTTTAATGGGTACTCCAATTATGTCTTAACTTCGCTATTGGGACTGCAGTAAAATGTTGGAGGTGGACTTTTCCTACTAAGCCTCTAACTGACACTCCCCATGCATAATTAGTTATATTCTGACGAAAGTGAAAAAATAAATAACGAAAACAACCAAGAACTGTGCATTTGTGTTCGTTGTTTTAATTAAATTAATAAAGTGTAATAAAACAATTACGTGCTAATACTAATAAAATCTTTGCAAATAATATTTTTCATTAAAAAAGTATTAAAAATTATAAGAAGAGTGACATGAAATGTTTATATACAATAAAAATGGATATAAATAAGAAATTATAAATGAAATATGTTTAAAATAAGAATAAACTTTGAACAATATTTTTAATTAATTTTTCTAAATGCCGTTGAATAGTTATGGATCGTAACTGTAATTCATATTATGACTTATGGTTATTTTGAAAAATGTCTTTTTTAAAAAATAAGAGATAATGCAATGAAAGCAAAGAAAGAAGAGGAAGAACAAAGAACACTTTTCCTATAGTGGAAAAGTGAAAGGGTTGCTAGAAGGACAAGGTATTAGGATTCTATGCTACTTCTAAGCATTGCGTTCCCTTTCTAATCATGAAGATTCTAGAAGCCTGACGACATTTGAATTGACTTGGAAAAGGAATCCAGTAATTTGAAAAAGTACACTGAACAACAATAAACACAATTGTGTAATTTCCCTTTTTAACATTCGATTAGCACAATAAACTTGAGCTACACAATAAGTGGATTGTGGTTAGTAAGGATTCAGAAAACGAACTTTAAACGCTTTAGATATCAGGGCACCAGAAGGACGAGAAATAAGGAGCTGGGACACACCTTAGAAAAAGATGAAAGGCAATTAACAGACCCTTCGATGTATACCTGGAACTGTGTTTCTAAGCAAAGCCTCTAAGCATTCCGTTCCCTTTCTAACCGTGAGGACTCTAAAAGCTTGACGACATTTGATACAATTTGGTACAGGAATCCAGCAATTTGAAGAAGTACACTGAACAGCAATAAATAGAATTATGCAATTACACTTTTTAACATTTGACTAGAACTAACAAACTTGAGTTACATAGCAATTGGATTGTGGTTATTAAGGATTCAAAAAATGAACTTTAAACGCTTTAGATATTAGGGCATCAGAAGGACGAGAAACTAGAAGCTAGGACACACCTTAGAAAAAAGTGAAAGCCAATTAACAGCCCCTTCGATACCAGGGACATAGAAAATCTAAGGAAGAGATGGGACGAAAGAATTTTCGGTTTGGTCATGTGATTTTCTAGCAGGTAGGAAAAGTAGTTTGGATGGTAGGCCTCACAAGGCTGATTTGTACCGTTCGACAATGAAGAATATTTGACGTAATGGAATTAACGGCCATGCAGCATAGATTGCAGATACTTCTGCATTTATGGCATGCAAATTTAATAGATTGAAGAAATTAATAAACTTTTATACGTCTATATTCTGTTTGAATATTAATAACATTTTTTTACGAATGAAACAAGTGTCTGATTATAGTTTCTAGAATGTTATTACACTTTTTGCACGCGAATTCACTAAAGAATTAATTCACGATTATCGTCTATTATTAATAAATTCTTAAACATTATAAACCAAAGATGATGACGTTCATATTAATATTAACGATATCAGATTATCAGTACATAATGTTTACTTTTAGACGTAAGATGTACTTGCAGGATTAAATTTGTATCGTCAAGTTATAAGGGCTATGGGGATTTTAATTAAAAAAAAAACGACAACTAACGTTTTTGTGACGCTGTAGATCTGTACAGTATAAAAAAAAATTTCGTTACCGACGATGGATAGAATAGGCTACTAGGAATGGTAGAAAGTAGCGTTGACATAGTTGAAATCCGGTGACAATGATTTATGGAGGCAATGGAAACGTGAAAACCCCCATAAGCAATTAACATGCTCACAAGGGCCAGGAAAACAGAAAACTTCTAAAGGCATATTTCTGAAAGGATATCGAAGAAAGTATGATCGACTTTATATCTTCGAATATAAGATTCAAAACTAATAATTATCTAAATTATTATTTACTGATACTTATAGTACACCCTGATATTTACAATTTAACGTCACAGAATAATTTAAAAAATTTAATAAGTACTCATTTTGTATAGAATTTAATGGAGTCCTTAATAGAGTAAGGCATTTCCTTATTCAGTTTTCTGATATTCAAAATATAAAACTCTATATTCGTACAATCATGTACAGTTTATACGAGTTTTCGTATTAGGTAATTCACGTGTTGTTTAACAATTAAAAACATCTTTTATTTTATTATTCATTAAATATTAATGAATCAGGAAATTAAAATTACTTTTACAACGTTTACGAAAGGAAAAAACATATTTCCTAGATGTTATGGAGAAAATTTGTTTCTTCAATTTATACCTTGCCTTTTAGTAGTAATAATTTTCTATAAATTTATTAAGTAATAATATTGTTGTAATTTCTTTTTAAACACTTCTTTCTTTGTAAAATTCTTTAACGGTATTAAGAGTGGTACGATTTGTCTTAAGGAAAACGGCCTACTAAAGTTACATGTTACTGATTAAGAAATGTGGTCAGAACATTAAACTTAAATTAATCGAATTAGGTAGATTAAGTTGATAATCCTACAGATTTATACAGGGTAGAAAATGAAAGCTAATTATCCTGTCCTCGGGAAGCAGGGCGTCAGAAACACTATAGAGGTACCTCCCAAAAGTGTCTTTGACCCCATCTTCAAGGGCTCACGATTCATTCCCTGAAATTCTCCAGTACCGGTACCTTATTCTAATGTCATAAAAATGTTTCAAATAAAACGTCAAGGAACTGAGAAAACAAGAAACGATAAACATAAGAGGAAAATATATAATGAAATATTTCATAACAATATTTATTATATATAATATAATTATTATCATATAACAAAATAAATTAACCAAATTCAACCTTTAAGAACATATAACTGTTAACACTTCATCCAATTTTCTATTAACGTAAAGCATACCTTCGTAATACCTTCACTATAAAGAAATCTTATCCAATGTATCTATTAATAATATATGGTGAATGTTATATATTAATATTTTTAATATATCTGAAATTAAACATTCATCTACTTATTATTTTGCAATCATTTTTATGCGTTCAGAACAAATTAATCAATATCTGATGGTTTTTCACATTGATACTTATAAGAATAATGATCATAGTAATAATATTAATAATGTCGTTATTGAAGAATCAATTTTTTGGTTTATTAACACTTTCAATCACCCTCGAGGCTTATAATAAATTTCCCACGGGAACAATGACCATCTAAGTGAGAATGCTCACGATCGATGCGTCTATGAAAACATTGTGAACATGTGGGATCGTTCACCCGAGGAGTGGGTCTTGTTTCTCACGGTTCTGGGTTCCACCGGGGAAGGAAAGCTTATAAAAGGGACCAAGAGGCGCTTCCAGTCAGTCTGGTCTCCGCAACTCGGGACTTCGGCGGACCATCCTCGCTTTTCTTCCATCGAATAGTGTTTTATGGTATTATAGAATTATGAGTTAAACGTGAAGCTCATGAAATATACACACGTTTGAGTACACGTGATTTTAAACTGTATAGTGTCTCGAACTTTAGTGTTTTTCAATAATTAAGCATAAACGTAAACGTTTTACTAACCCATTCGCTTCAGGGAATCAGCTAGGGAGAATGTTAATAAATTTGAACAAATTTTGTAAAACACCATCGTTAGCTAATTTTATAGGACGACTCAAGCAACTTGACGACGAGTCAAGAGGAAATCTTAAAAAATATTATAATGGCAAATAATTGGTTTCTTTTTTAATTTTCAAGGTTTTTTCTATAAAATAATGTTCTGAATATTTACTGGGGGTTTGGGATAAGTAAAAAGGCGTAAAATTTGGTGAAAAATTGCCTTTTGAGTATGTAAAACTCCAGTAGCCAAATGTAATTGTATAGTATACGTAAAATTTAATAGATAGGGTGCTGTTGAAATAATTACTCACCGGATGGATGATTTGATAGTAAATTGAAGTCGTCGACTTGTAACGTGCTGTTCGGCCCTGTTCTTGTGAATCTCACCACGTGGTATTGGTTATCATTCACCTTCACGCCTACCTCACCAATTGGATGGTCGTTCGTACCCATGTTGTAAACAGCGAACACGTTACCTTCCACCTGAAAACAATTTAGTATTCTTTTATAGTTTCAGTGTCGAGTGTTCGAATTATATAAAATCAAAAAGTATATAAACTTTTAGATATTAGAAGCTAATCTGACAAGCTGTCGATGATAATAAATTATTTTAGATTCAATTTGTACTTATTTGAATTTAAGTCCTACAGTGATACTATCTATATGGTGTTTAAGATTTTTAGTTTCACTTCAGTCGATCACGCTTTGTTCCGAGTTTATAGAAATAAAATAGACATCCTACGTTCTATGAAATATATAAATAATCTGTAAATGACTTGTAATTTACCCGTTCGTAATATTATATATCGATGAAATGATTTAATGTACATATTTTAGTTGTGAACGTATTTTTGGTGTAATATGAGGAAGTAAAAATGTATCAGTCAGTGTAACAAATTACCCATGTAGTCTTTTCTTTTATACCCTGATTAGTAATATTATATCTTACAAAATAGAAGGTTTAACATTTTAACCTTAATCATGATAATCGAAAATAGAACGATTTTAAAATTTCCTTAATTATATTGATTTTAAATCAACTGAGTAGTTATACATCTATTAAAAATGTTCAAGAATTGATTTTTATGGGAATATTATTGGTATTGTCTTGGCAGTTTCTATTTCTTTCAAAAGTTTTTTCTTATTAAATAAATTACAAATTGTATAGTACTTTCCATTATCAATGTGAATACTGTTTGTGAAATATATAGCTAGCATTGATTACACGTAGTATTTATTGTTCTTTCAAAAAATAATAGGGATTTTCGAAGTACTGTGCAGTTGTCATGTCCTGAGTCAATCCTAAAATCTAAAAGTACACAGGAGTAAGGAGAATCGGCCGCACCTTCCACCTCGGTTCTTCCAGGAAATAGAAATTTGAAGGCAATGTTCATTACATCTCATTCCGTCACATTCTATTTCGTCTGCTTTTGTTGTCACGTGGCTTGGCCAATAACATCAACTGTTGTTCTATGGTTATTGACGTGAGCATCCTAAGTGGAAGAGCCTCTTTGCACCCGTGACTTTTTAGCTTTTAGGATTGACTCAGGACGTGAGAAGTATACAGGAAATTTAATTGTTACTTTACAATGTGCACAAATAGTCTATCATTTCTTTATATATTGTACATAGCAATAAGAAGCAAAAATATTACTTAATTATGAATTATAATTATTTCTATGCATGATTATATTAATTTCCACGAAACGATTGAAATAACAGTGAAAATGTAATCTAGATTTAACAAATATAATCGTACGTAATCTTTTTTATTATTTATATGTTGACATTGTTTTGACAAAAATATATACGTACTTAGCGTGTGATATGTAAATTCACAAGACATGGCAATTCTTTTCAATTGAAAAAAATGTGTTGTAACTACCATACACACTACCCGATAAAATTTTGTCACCTAAACTTGTCAAAACTAATACTCTTTATAGTAGTAATTAAATTTTTTAATTTTTAACAGGTTTGTTGCGACTTTCAAAACAGATATTTCATAATACATGTCACATATTATATTAATTATTAATAGTCAATTTAGTGCATAAGTGTAATTCATTTGTGACCATGAATGTTACATTTGTCGTACAATCATTATGTAATGTGGTTGTTTAACTCAGACTCAGAAGAAAAGTAGTTTCGTGAAATGAAATATGGATTTGAGATTAATCTGCATACGATAATTATAATTTATATGAAGTATAAAGATATAAGATTATAAGATATAAGATTATAAGATTCTATTTATGAACCAGGAACAATAAAATAAATGAATAAACTTTATATACTATTGTTACTATTTTTATATCAAATTTAATAAATATTTTATTAAATATTTTAATTATGATACGTGATATTAAAAACTGTATTAATTAAATATATAATTTTAATATTGTAATATAGAAAATCAATTGTTACGAACATATTAACATTTCCTTAAGGATATGATTATTTGCAATTTTTTAAATTTATTTTTTTGATGAAACATTTTAAGAGATATGTGAAATATTTAGAAGTTAAATAACTAAATCTTTCTGTATTTTTCTTAATTTATACTGCTCAATTTTTGGAAACGTCAAATAAATATCAAATTTCTAATATCATTGATGACCTTTGTTATAAAGTTTAGAACATCAAGATTATACTTTGAACATAATACATTTTCTTTTTAATTGTGTAACAGAGAAACACAAAAATTTATGTATCAACCACCACCAAGGTTGTCACCGTAACCTTCCAAAAGAAATAGGTTTTTGGAGCGAGTTATGGGTCCAATAGTAAACATGTATGTGCGACCTTAATTTACGCGATCTGGATTTAGTAACACCGAATGGAATGTACTTCCGTTTTCTGAAATGTCATTATTATTATTTCCTTTGTTTGACTATGACTATGTGATATGAAGATATAATTCTAGAACTTATACTAGCTATTTTGTTCAATATCTTATTTTCTTTTGTACCGACAGATCCTACACGAGTTTCATTCTCATAAAATAAATTCACATGGAACGGGTTTTCGCGTAAATCGAGGGTCAAGTGTAAGTGTGATGAGCCCCGAGTATGTGCGTGAGAAAGAGCGTTAGATTAATAGAGTTCACGAGTAATAGAATTAATTTTTAAAAAGAGTTTATCGTTAAGACTAGATTAATAATTAGTTATTAGTGCAAAACATAATAAATATAGTACAATCGCTAACCGAAGTACCATCCTAAAAATGTATCCCTAGAATACTGCATCATTACTTCATTATATTGTATTCAAAATCATTCAAATTCCAGAAATATTATTCGCATACGAAAATATTACTATATAGACGTCAAAGAATAAATATTTTAGCATATATTTGAAAATATAATGTGTAAATTTGAGTTTCATTATTTTTTGAAATACTTACAAATTATGTATAAGTGTAGATTTAATTAAATTCGGAATTATTCAATTTTTCATTTATCAGTTCTTTTTCTATTGTTTTGTTACAAATTTATATACCTCAATTACTTCATATTATTCATAAAAAATAGTTATCTTTCAAGTAACTAATTAAAAAATGTATTAATCGTTAATTTATAAAATTGTCACTATTACTAACAATTTCAATTTCGAGGTAATCATTGCTGGAAGCAGATTCGATCCTGACAAGTACAGCGTCGTTCACGTTAGTAACGAAGCCCAAGGCCACCGTGTCTCTCTTCATTTCCGGTCGTCGGTCCGGTGGGAAGGTGTATGTGATAATTCCTCTTCCGGCGCCGAATTCATACGCTACCGCTTCTGCAACAAATTAAATATTTCAATTAATACAAATTCTGACTATTTTCCTAAAGTTTATTTAAATTTAAGTTAATTAATCCCATTTAGTGAAATTTGAAATGAAAAATATTTCCAAATAAAGTACAATTAAAATGTAAAAATAAATAATTTCAAAATTTACTTGTACAAATAAATATTCATTAATATAATAATAAATATTGTAGATAAAGTACTCTTTATTGATTCAACGGTATTTTTAAAAAAATGATCTTCGCTTTAATATTTTTTCAATACTTTAGTACTTTTTTTTACCTATTAAGAGTGTATTACTACAACAATAGAAAATAAGGTATTTAATAATTAATGGGAGTTTACAAATAGACGAATGTTACAAAATGTAAATAAAAAAAATAGTATTAAAATAATGAAACTATGTTAACCCTTCGCATTCGAGATTTGGTACAGCAAAACTTTAAAGTTTAATTTAATATTAATCTTTATATAATGCATTACTATCTGAAATATTGAAATCAAATAGTTTTGTTCGTTAATTTATGTATGAAGTATCATTAAGTTAAATTCAAAAAATATTCTCTACATCTCATTAGAAAATGTTGAATATTTCTAATGAAAAATTTTCAGACACAAGAGGTTAAGACAGTCCAAAATTCTTCAATAGAAAATATATTTTAATCTCAAAACAGCTCGAATAAAATATAGAAAATTATATTGCTCATTCTGCCAGAACAAGAGGGAACGCGCAAGATCCTATTTCCGTTAATGACGTATAAACGAGAATACTACCTGCGCTATATAACACCGAAATAGTTTCGTTCCTCCAATTTCTGGACGCAGCAAATATATGTCGCAAAAAGACCAAGTTTTTAGCTCGCACAGTTTTAGCGCTGGTTTGAGACGGAAGTTATTGCAGTACCATACGCGGCGCGTCTCTCATTGTTAGTAAAACAAACGTTTGTTAACGGACTGCGCCGGTACGCGTTCTTTTCTTGTACCCATTAGAGCCCTACGTGTCCACACTCGTTTTCCTCGCGTCGCGAACTGAACAGGTGCCTTGAATAAACAGGTAGCGCGTAAACTGTCGTTGGCAAACAGGAAACTACGGAACGCCGACACGTGTATAGGAACGTTTGCGAAATACTAGCAGTTATCTGTGGTTTTACTCACGTTAGTTCTTCTACCGCCGAATCCAATTATTCATTACCTTCAAAAAGGAATGAAGTAAAAGTACTTTAACCAGTTAACTACGTTTAACGAGTATACACGCCATCTTAAGGATTAAAATGATACTAAATTTTTCAACGATAAATTATTTATTTTTTTTTTAGATAAATATTTAATTCCTCTTTGTTTTGGTCACAGTCAACCAAAGTTAACGAGTTAAAATATTTCGAATGGGAGTTCTCAAAATATGGGTAGTGACATAGTGATGTAGTGAACATTGAATAATTGCAACAACAAACGGGACCGAAAGGTTGCAATTACGAAAAGGCTGAATCGAATTCACCCCAAGAGACGAAGATTTTAGCATGGCGGATGTAGAAAAATCAACGCGAGTGAAAAAAAGAAAGACTGAGAGTCGGAGCGTTCAGCATGTTAAAGGCTCGCGATGAGCTTGAGACTTTTAACTCAAAAATCGAACTTCTTTATTTTTTATTTTCGATGAATGAAACTTTCACTGTCGTATTTGTTATGTTCTTCTGATAAAAATGACTCCAAACACGATAGAATTACGGTCATAATTGCTTCTATAATAAACGATTGAAGTTTCAGCACATAGTGGGAATGACCATGTTGCAATTATGAAGTGGTCCCCGATGTTGCAGTTATCCAATTTTCACTGTATTGATCGTTGATGAGTCACGAAAGACGTAGAAGGGAGGTTTATCTGTTTATTAAGAGTGTCTTGCGGATCAAGAATACGTGTTTATATTCAGAAAAATGAATAAGTTGCAATGAATTATTGTGTTCGAAAATGGATCTTGACGCAACAATTTAGGAATCATTGGCGTGGGATTTTTACTAAGGTAGACCGAAGCCAATAGGATAGTTTCCTCTTTGACAATAAACGAATAAAAACACTGAAACATTATTAGTAAAAAGTGGAAAGGAATTTGTAAATTTTCCTTTAGCAAATAAGGAACGAGAAACGAAGAATGTAAGTTGTGACACAACAAGTGTGGTCCGGATTCTTATTTTGATTTGATTCACTTATATTTACTCTATTTAGTTTTCATTGTATCCCTGCCAATAGAACACAACTTTCTATACCCTGAGAGACAAAACAGTTGAGATATATTGGTAGAAACGTAGAATATTAAGTGGCGATAAATTGAAAGTAATAAACCGCAAAACATTAACGATAAAGTAAGATAAAATAAAAAAATGGTATAAACAAAGGAAGTCTATAATGCCCAGGCGACGACAAGCTACATTTTTATATAGTTTTCCTAGAAATCTGTCCAGTAGTTATTGACATTATCTCAAACAAAAGTTCTATCTTTGTAATGCTGATAAAGATCTTTATCTTTACCATCGTTACATGTCGGCCCGGTGAAACTGGTCATGTCGCAGTCGCAGGTGTAACTGTTCCACTGCTGCACGCACGTGCCGTGGTTCGAGCACAAATCATGTGTGCACTTTTTCCCGGGATGAAGGCTCGCGTACATGTCGCAGCCGGATTCCACTAGAGAGCTCGGCACCACCGCATCGGAAATCAGGTTTGTGCTCTCGCCGCTTAGGTCCAGCGACGCGAGACAGCCTTCGAAACCATGTCTGCTAAGGATTTGTTTCGGTAATTGGCTGTACTGCAGCTTCTCCACGCCGCCTGGAAAAATTTAATCGAATATCAATAGGAATGCTCACCTCTTGTCTTACGATATCGCATGAGACTAATATATCGTAAAAAGATTTTGGAAAATTCACAGATATAATTACGATTCTGTTCCTTCCGGTTTAAAATAAATGTTATTTCTCCATTACAAATTTTTCACCGTTGGAGTAAATGTAGGCATACGAAGAGCATGGAATTCTTTTTTATTTATAGTAAATTATTCACAATGAAATAGTTTCATCGTGGCCAGTCGTGAAAGAAATCACAGGGCAAAAGGTTAATATTTCATTTGTAGAAGGAAAAAGTAGTTTTATGTTTGGAAAGTATTTCTGAGGAAATTATAAGCTTACATTAGTAAATACGACGTTGGGAAGGTCATTTTCATTATTTGTGCAAATTGATTTCGATATTTACTTAAGTTGAATTAAATTATTACAGTAAATTCAGTCGAAATATGGATATTTTTCGTTCATATGGAACGAGTGAAGTAAATTAAATTAATTAACAAAAAACACTCATAACATTCCTGTTCTCCAAATGATATACTCAAATTCAGAAACATCTTCTCCAATCATCCACGATCGATGCTTTAATCGATGTTAATATTATACCGTGACACAATTAATTAAAAAGGAAACACTCCTATTACTCCTGTCCTCCAAACAATATACTAAAATTCAAAAGTATCTCCAATTATCCACGGTCGATGCTTTAATCGATGCTATCGCTACTAACACGGAAGAAGAACAGAGTGACAAGTAACAAGCGGATCTCCTAAATCTGCGTGGACCGATGTCACCGACGTGACGGAAAAATGGCACCTGTGACGCGGGAATGGATTCGAAATTCCGTCATATGAGTTCGACGATCCGAGACGACCGCACGTTCGACTGATCGTATTGCTTTCTCTCTGCCATAAATTCAAACCCTCCCCCGCGTTCGTCATTCCGGCGCGCTGCCGGTGTTCTAGGGGTGCGAAAATTATTTCGGGCCGCCAGCATCCCGAGCGTTGCACCGCATGCGCGTGTAGGGACTCAAACGAATCCTGTGGTTCAATCGAGCAATATTTTCTGACGCTGTCATTCAATCGACCAAGGTCCAGTTTCCTTCATTCACGCGTTCATCTCGCGGATTGATTTAATGACTTTTTTTGAACTCGCGATGGAATAACTCTAAGCTCGACGGAACAACTGCGTACCATTGAAGTATGTTATTATACGTTGCTTTCTTGTTACTGTATTGTGGACCTTTATTCGGATTCAAATTTTGGGGAATGAGATTAGAAAAATAGAGTTACGATAGGAAATAGTTTCTTTTTTTTAAATAAATTACAGAAAAAATAAAAAATTCACAGACTGCTCGTTGCGTAATTGTACTTTGTTGTTGGATTTAATTATGATACACGGATCCGTACATGTTCAATAAAGTTGAATAATAATAACAATATCTGACAATAATTGAGATAATTGGGAGAGATGTTAGAAGTAATGGAGAGCTTATTTGTTAAAGAAGAACAAATTTTATAGTCAGTGTCAAAATGTTAAAAGAACATAAACAAAATTTTTTAAATAGTATAAATATTAATATGCGAAATGTTTTGAAAAATTTTAAATAGATATTTGATTTTTTACAGAAGACAACATTCTATACTTACTTGGTGTATTAATTATTGGTTTATTAATTTGGATACCAGATCTCGCATAATTGAAATTATGACATTTAAAATAAGTGTTACAGCAGAATTTAAAGTAGTCAAATTGTTCAAATTGTTATCTTCTAAAATACAGGATAAGTGGTAATGAAAAATAAACCGGAAGAAGGAGAAAGCAAAACCCCATGTAAAATTAGTCATGGCATGATTGAACTGCAAAAATCATTTGAAACCGATAAGCATGATGTAGGAACTGTGTCATCATCTTTATTTATATAAGGATTACTTTATCTTTCTTCAAAATACGACATAATTCTTTCCAAACGTTTCTGTGTGTATTGGTTTTATATCAATTAAAGTTTAATTGTATTTTATCATTTAAGACTTTGCTGTCGGGAGACTTATTAAAGTTCGAAGTATACTAACGGTCAACAGCGGGAGACTTGACAGGACGGTAAAATATGTCTTTTTATATTATTGACTAATTGAAATTAAATTTCTAATACACCTTTCTGTACAATAGTTTGTTGTGTGATTATTCGTTAGATGTAAGATGCGTGAAAAATAGCCCGACAGCAAAGTGTCAATGATTTCATTATTTAAGTGTGACGATCTGGAATTTCAGATTTTCCTTTACTCTGAACGTTTTAAGATAGAAATTGGCCAATAAGTCTGTAAATTATAACTAAAGTATTACCTTAACGATGTAAAGTAACGTGTTAATATCTCCATGATCGTCAAACTGACTGTTTATTTTTTCCTACTCGAACAAAATTTTTCATCGTATTACCCATCTTGAAAAGTGTTTTTACGACTGATGATTATTTAACGATGCTATCTATAGCTGTAATTGTTTCCTACGTCTTTGTTACTGCATTCAAAATGGATTGCAACTGTGTTGGTGCAAATGTAATAAACAATGATGTTATCGTTTCCTATTACGTGACACCTATAGTACACTCTATAGTTTGGCTTCAGTTACCATACTTGTATTGAGTTATTGCTAATTATTTTCATAGAACATTCTTGATAAAATTGGAACTCATGTGGATAAAATAACACATGATATATTAAAATTGTCCAGCTTAGACTATGGAAATTTTGCATTTTTAGTGCATTTTTAGTAAGAAAATTAATAAACTTCTACGAAATGTTTCATTTCATATGGACGCTGACGAAGCTTTCAATAAAAATTTTTTAAATTTCACTTTCGGTATACTAATTTTAAAAAAAATTATAATTACGTAAGCAGTAGCTATCTAATTTTATAATCAACATTAAGAATATTCGAGTAAATATAATAAAAAATTCAATGTATCAGACTCAAGAAATGCAACATGTAAATGGCGCTAATATATGATGTGGATACTTTTATCGGCAGTTTGGAAAAGGTTGTACCAGTACTGTTATAAACATATCAGATATAAACGAGATAATCTAATCTGTATTAGATAAAAGAATGTACTGGTGTAAATCTCACTTAATGAGTGTAAACTTGATCATTTTTATAAAAGTAGAAGTATACCAATACGTTTATTTGTAGTTAATGCGTAGTTATTATTAAAGATTACCAATGGAAGTTATTGTTTCATTATATCTTACATAGTTGCATGAACCAGAATATCATAAAATCAAGTACAGAAAGCTGTAAAGAAAATCATATGAAGAATAGATTATTTAATTTGAAGGAGGTTTAAGTTCATCTTCTTTTGTTTTGAGACAAACTTTAATTATTTTTACCGCGGCAAATCGGATGCTGCAAAATCATTTAGATGCTAACTGAAGAGAATCTGAATTGTCGATGATCCTTAGGTGCAGAATAAAATATCCAATATGCTTCGAGGAGAAAAGTGTACTTATACGTTACTCTATACTTTGTATACATTATGCGGACATAAACCAAAACCATCAGTAGCACTTTGACTAATAAATGGGAAATATCTGTGGTACACATATAAGACATTATAAGATATTTAAGAAGTATTAAAAGTTTTATTTTTGTTCGAAATTGTTAAACAAAGTGAGGTACGTAATTTTAATTCCTGAGTCATGGAATACCTGCTGATGGCCGTATCAATGTCGAGTGATAATTAAACATGTGAAGCGTTGAATGTCGGTTAAGTAGCACATAATAATCTTTCGGTTTATGTAGAGTCGACGTAAGAGTGCAACGATATCAATCAGGAAGACATCATTCAGAAGGGCCTAACTGTAACATATATTGTGGTTCGTACGCTGTATTTGGGTTAAATTGTGACTGCTTGATTTATTATTAACTGCTGCTATTAAATTTCACAATTTTAAACTGTAGTCATCATTTCGTTTATCGTCAAATTTAAAAGCAAAACGAATATAACCTCACTTTAATCCTTGCGCAGACAACTGGTTTAAAATTTCGGCAGAGTTTTGCGCGAAGAATTTTGGTTCCACCCATTTCACGTAGACATGTAGACTAATTCTGTTTATTAATGTTGAAATGCAAACCCTAAAAAAATGTAAACAATTTAATACGCAATGTTAAAAATATGTTCACGCATATTTCGAAAACCAAGTCCAAGCGGTGCGCCGTAGCATTCGCAGCTAAGCGTTGTTCGAAATAGTGACCTAGGAAACATATTTCAAGGTTATTGCAATTGGTAACGAATCGCTAATCTACACAATTACCATACAAACATTTTTATTCTTTATCTATGTATTCGTACACGGAACGGTTGCGGAAATTCAGATTTGCGGATCAATGGCAGATGACACAAGACGTCAGATCTCCTTATCGCGCGGTCTCTTATCAGCGATGTGCTGAAGTGATGTAGCTTTAAATCGCCTTTTAATTAAAAAAGAAGCAAAATCATAGGAAGCAAAGAGGGAAGGAGTGAACGGTTGTCGCTAGGTGACAGAAAAACCGCTTGATAAGTCTAATCTCGTTTGTGAGAGAGTGCTGCGGTTGAGCTCCGGAAGCGCGAAACGCTTAATTAGCTGGATCATTGTTCTCGCCGTCATCAGTCGAAGATCGATTCTCTAACTGTCTTGTTCTCCAATCTACCGGCGATCGATCCTCCAAGAAACCTAACTTCACCGCGGAAGTGAGCGAATTCTTTTTCGATTCCGATCTACCACTGATCGAAATTATCACCGGAAACGGTGTGGCCAATCGATCTTTCACGAAACCGTGCGTCAACATGCATCGTTCATCGATCGTTTCGGCCGGTGTTCCTCTGTTCCTGTTTATCGCTGGCTTCTCCGTAGCGTTATCAGCGGTCGCTTTGGACAGAGAGGCGTATCGAGAATCGCCGAATTTGCCACCGGCTGACTCGCCGGACGATAATGCGGGCAGATATATACCGGAGGACTGGCAGAGAAACTGGCGGCAGTCCCTGACGTCGGAGATCAAGATTCACTCGGCGGAGCGCAACGCGTCAGATCTGGACATCAACTGGTTGTTCGCCGTGATATTTAGACACGCGCCGCAGAATTACAAGGCGATGGAGTCCTTGGATCAGAACACATCCGGAAACAAGATCGAGGAGATCGCGGAAGACGTGGGAGTGAACGAGATCGGGAAAAGCGACGAGACCGTGATACAGACGGACAACAAGTTCGTAATACCACAATTAGAATCCAGGACAATCGTCGATCCGCCTGAGTTCCAGTGCCCTGAAGGTGAAAAGAAGGATCCTGCCGGGAAATGCAGGCCGATTATGTAAGTCGTGCTGATGTTTTCTATTGGCGATTTTCGTCTAGCGAGAATTGGATGCACTCTTTTCTTGGGTCTGAATGTTCACATTGATAAATATTGATGAGCCGTGCTGACGGTTTCGAGAACTCTGAGTGCTCAGAATTGTAAACGTAAATGGGATGATGTTAATTTAAAGGAATGTTGCTTCTTCGGTGCCTGTGACTAACTATTTTGTTTGCTACGTTTATTGTGTTTTTATGCTGCCATGTTTGTTGCTTTTTAAATGGGTAAAATGGAAACTTTTGTGTTGTTAGATGTGCAGTTCATGTAACGAAGGAAATTAAATTTAATTATTTCAAATAAGTATTAAATTAATTATCTAAAATTTATAGAACTAGATTGGTAAACGGAATATTTACGAATTATTAATTAATTAAAGCATAGCTGCCAATTGCATTGTAATCTATACAACGTGAGCTTTATGTATGTAAGATGTATAAAATATGTCAAGAATATTAACTAGAGTTTAGTACATTTTTTAATTATTCATATCTAGAAAAACTTTTTCATTTGAAGTGTAAACAATGATTTCATTAAAATTTATATTAAAAAAATAATTTCAAAAGATCTACATTTCCATAATCGTTCATAGTTTACTAACTACGGGTATGATAAAAAAATTAAATGAGTTCGTGCAAGACGCAAGCTACGATACTTTTGTATTTTATTAATAAATGTCTTTCTGTTTTGTTCCAGAACGTAGACCGAGAGAACATCTGTATTTAATCAGTTTGACGGACAGGTGAAAAACAACTACTTCGACGTTGGTTCACAAGTTAAATATAATGTTCCTCTTTCTTCTAAAATAAATTGCTTGCAAAAAATAAGTGACACTTCTTTCTTCGAGCTATGTCGATATTTCCTAGATTGGTAATCATAGATTAGATTCGTGACTCGTAAATGTATAATGATATATTTACCCTTATTATTTACAACGTCTTGTCATTTTATGGGTAATTTTTCAATTCCTAATTTGATTGCTTAACATATATCGTACCGGCACTTTTCTTACAGTAATCAGTCAAACAGCTAGCTACAAAATGAAAGTAACAGGTTAGATGACAAACTTTGAAACAAAGTTTCTAAACAAACAACTAAACAAAAATTGAAAACCTAATTGATTGGACGATGTAGGAATTAATAAAAAGTTAAAGATTGAAAGAAGACGCAGAACTTTGGACTCGGTCATTTGACCGGTTCCTGGTAAGATTAGTGTTAAACTAAATACAATTTGATAAAACGATCGTTTTGCGAAGCATTGCGGTTACATGATACAAATAATGGGGGTATCAAAGTTATTTATGTGTCAATAGATTTGATCGATTTGATTTCGCTACTGCGTCATTGTGCGATTCTTAGCTTCTAATTTTATCTTGGTGTCTCCGACGTATCGTCCAAATCGATATCAGCCGTTGAACGATTTATTATTCCAGGATTTTTGGAATTCTTCGTAATTCATGACGTAATAATTCACATATAGTATATTCCTCTCTTATCTGAGTTCGATAACATTTCGGAGGGCATGGTATAAATATACCGATAAATATCAGAAATGATTATTGGGCGGGGCGCGTGTCTCTACTGACAGGAAGTTGAAAAAAAACTTGAGAAGAAACAAGTTATAGGAAAGAAATAAATCCTTATTACAATACTTCGATGATTCAGTGATTTGCAATATTGTGAATAGTTTAACTGCATGATTTTTGTTAATAGAAATATTCTTCAATCTTTTATCAATCATTCTTAGCGTATTTTCACAGAATCCGTTTAATATTTTTTCAAATATTTTTAATATTAGAAGTAATTAATATGAAAAAATTTTTTTTAGAGGTTTTAGTATAGATATTATTTGATTAAAATAATTCTTTGTTTATTTACATTTTAGCAAGAATATTAAATTTGTAATGACGTTAATTGATTGCTCTTTAAATATTCAATCTTACGCTTTACAAATTAGTTATTCTGCTTACGATTATGCGCACCTTGAAGTATGTAACTGATATTTCTAGAGGTCAAGTTCTGAATAACTCAGAATGTTTGTGTAAGTTCTATTATTAGGTGGAAAATTGTATGCATTCGTAATAAATGCAACAGAGTATATTACATTACAATAAAAATTGTAATAAAAGCCATCATATTTGTAATTTAGTCTATAAATTACGGTTCCTATGGAACCATTAAAACTCGTTAAATAAATTAATCTACAAAATTGCAAATCTGTGTACAAATTGAAAACCACGTTATTAAACATCTAGTCTTGCAGTATTCCAATAGTAAGAATGATGAATTTGTCTTTCACCTATTCATTTACAAGCTAACAAGTTAACAGAACAATTAAAAACAATTAGTTTGTTGTCACATTATAATTAAACCTTTCTTGTTTCTATTAGCAAATTTGATAGCCAATTAATTTTATATGTATACAGCTATCTGTGTTCACATGTCTGATAAAAAATATTTTCTTACAAAAATTAGCATGTACCAAAAGTGGTTAATTTTAACCTTTAAATAAGGACATAAATTTAAACTTTGAGTATAGAAGTCTGAAAATTACTGATTAATGTTAGATATTCCCGTTTGTAATAGCTAATCAAAAGAGGTATTGTATTGATTTGTTTTTGCTTATTTAAGTATCTCTTCATAGCAATAGTATTAACTATATAACGAAAATTTCCTTAGCTTCAAAATTCATGATATTTTATGTAGACGTCTCTGAAACTGCTTATCCATACTTAAAAGTTAAACATATTTTTTCGCAATGCTATTCTTGCCCATAAAATCGGTATCAATTGAAAATTTCAAGATGAATGATTTACTCACCAACATAGAGAATCCCATCGAGGTCGAGGTTCTCATTGCTACCCTGACTATTGACGACAGTGACATGATCATCGACGGCCAGCGTGTGCCTCTTGGGTGCTGGCCTCCCAATGCTGACAGCGTGCCATTTGCCGTCGTTCAGTCTCGACCTTGAGTTGTCCCTAACCCTGACAGGTCCATCACCCAAGTCGAACACATAGTGAACATGTCCGTTCACCAGCTCCACTGCGATGAAGTCTCGCTCGCGGCCGGCGTTGAATAGGATCAAACCGTTCGCTTCTCGTGTCTTGAACTGAAAGATAGTATTCAAATAAAGGACGGTGATCAGCATTGAAACTACCAAAACAATCAAAATAATAACATTTAAATTTCGTGTTTATCATCAACGTTGTTTAAGTACTTTTTGAAACAGTAATTTTAAATAAGTGTGTAAAAGTTGCGTGAAAGTAAAAACAAAAATATATTCGCAAAGTTTTATAAGAGATTCGAAAATAGTCACTAATTGTTTGATAGTTTTAAAAATTACCTTATGTGTAACAGTCGTATAATATTCTATTAGGCAGTTAAGAGAACTTGAATTAAGGAGAAATTTTTAGGATTCGAATTATTTCATATTTGCTTTTATTATTTCCATTTTAGTAAAATTGTTTACTTTATTGCGCTTCATAACGTCTGCGAATGCCATAGATAAATGTGTAATGTTGTCAGTTTATTTATAACGTAATTGTAACTGACAGCTGTACGTGAATGAATTATAAATGAGTATGATCCTTTTCAAGGGCTGGGCGTGAACCTAATTTATTATGCAGTGTCCTGGAAAACAATCACTTGCACAGCTGCAAATATTTATCGCGTCACAGGAATCCACATGACAGAATCCATGTATATGATCATAATTATTAAATCGGTAATTAATACTCATTTAAAATTCCTAATTTATATAACCTATATAGACAAGAGACAATGTCGTAATGTGAGTGAGAATGCATGTTGGTACTAGATGGTCATCAATAGGACACGATTGCAACCGTTAGGCGTTTTGATGCCTACTTTAGCCTTTTAAGGGCCTTATACACGCTGAAACATGCGGCGATGCAAACAGCAATTCCTAGATCTCATGAAACCTAGCATTAGAGACAGGCTCTCCACACACGTTGAAACAAGCTACGATTCCTAGGTTTCACGAGTCCTGCTTTAGCATTAAGCCTCCTGTTGGCCAGCTTCCCTCTACAAGACTATTATGTCCCTATAGTGCCATTTTGGCTCTTCAGCTTGAGGGCTTAGTCGATCAACTCGTTGGATTTTTCTCAGTTTTTCATGTGACACAAACGTTTCAACAAGGAATTCAAAATGTTCGATAAATTTCCGTTACTTGTATTGTTAGCTTTAATAGGAGCAGCATTTAGTTTAAAGAAGTTCCAGAATCATGAAGTTCTGTACGATACATTATTCCCATGATCGAAAGAGACGATCGGCAAGTTCTAATATGTAACGGTCGAAAACGATCATGCCCCGGTCATTAGGTCAATGACGCTTAGTCGCGGCACGCAAGATGTATGAGCATGCTTGCGTGTATGTATATTTTATCAGAGATCTTGTTATCCTAATGTTTTTTCAGAATGCGTGAGTATGATTGTCGGAGCGAACGCAATTGTAGGAAAGCGAGCAAAGACAGCGTGCCTATTAGGAGAATAGCGTGTAGAAAGAGAGCGAAGTGTGAGCCTTTGTATAATAGTGAAATAAAGGGTAAATATCCGTTTCTCGGAAGACATTGATCCTACACCTGTAATCGTTAGAACTTCATAACTCAATTTTGAAGTATAAAACTGCACGTACTGCTATAATTAATTGTTTTCTTCTAAATCAATTTCTTTCATACAATAAATAAATAAATTTGAACAATTTCTTTGGTCTCCTTTTCATTTTCCACTATGATTAATTATTTCTTCCTAAGTAAATTTCTGTCACAAAATAAGTAAGTTCGCACAATTCCCTTGGACTGATTTCTATTTTTCAATTCTTTATATTTTTTAATAACTCTAGCCTTGTCGGTTATTTGAATCTACAATTACCTTGTTCTTTCCGAAGCTTTCAATAATCAATAGCAAGATAACAAATTTTTCATGAGATTCGTATCAGCAGCAGCTGACAACACATCGGAATGTAGATATAAAGCATTTATCTCTAATATTTCATATTTTCATTGATAGCAAATCATTGATTTAATTTCCGTCGATCGTTTGATAGACATTATTTTTAACAATAGAATACATTGACGAAGTTTATACGAAATCCTGTGAAACGTCCCCTAAATCGACGATAAAAAAGATTTTTTTATTCATTCGTTTCTTCTTTTTTAGAGCGGAAAGGGTAACGTACTTATTGATCGATCCACGGATATTTGCATGAACGTTCGTAGTCTACTCGCGAAGTATCAATTGTTTACACAAGGGTGGACAATGGAAATAGTGCGTGGTAGCCTGTTACGGGTGTGTTTGATTGCGAAAGCCGATCGTGTTTTCGCGTGGCGTGAAAGCGTTGTGCCGGGCCTCGGGGACGCTGATGAAAGACATCGAAAAAAGCAGAAGCCCGTCAGTTACAGGTTTGCGTAATTACGAAGGCGATGACCGGTTAGGCTTATCTGTTACGTGGCGCGGAAGAACGAGGAATAATTGAGTTTTCATTGGTAGAACGCTTAGACAAGTGTTACGTTTAACCTCTTCTACTATAATATCGCGTTAGACTCGTGGCGACGGTTTCAAGTTAAAGAATCAAATGATACTTATATTTGTTAAATTATAAGTCCAAACGATTTCTTACTATTTTTCTAAAATTTAAAAGCTGTGTTGAAAAAAAGCGTTAGCGATTAAATATAAAAAGTTCGAATGAATAATAGTATTAGTTCTAAAAGAAAATGGGAACGTTATTAGATCAAAAAACATTTGAAGAACGCAGCTGGGTTAAAAGAAATATGTGAAATTGATATAAATTAATTATGGAAGGTCATGAATAATTAGCAATAATAATCTTACAATGATGCATATTAGTACAATATTAAAATTATAATGTTATATTCGTTTAGTAACTGTAGTATGAAGTAAATTTGAAAAATCGTTACCTGGAAGTAGATATTCGTTTCCACGTACGCTTTCAACACAGGCAATCCGACGAACGTGTGCTTCGAAGTGAAGGTCACGGGATAGTGAACCGGATGATTCCTCTTGCCGAATTTCCCTGTGACTCTGATGAGTGGCGTAACGCCTTGATGGGAAGCCTGATGATTTCCGGAGCTCCTCGCTATTTCGAGATAAGGGTAGCCGTTGAACCAGATCTGTTGCAGTTGACCGACGAAGTGAGGGATTTCCTCCCCAGCGTGCAAGTATCCTCCCACGTGTAACGTGCGGAATTCCAAGATTCCTTGTTTGCCAAGTTGGCTCTCCGCTGTGAAACAGAAACCCGTGTTTTCCTTAAATTATCGATGTTATCGCGTACGATATCTCATATTTCACGTTGAAATATTGTATAACATGTATTTACTAAAGGTAAACAAGTCATTAAATATAGAAGATTCTTACTTCTTTGTTTTTACTGTAAGTATTCAGGTAATACATGTTTTAAACTATATATAATAATATATAGTTCAACTATTAACAAAGTTGGACTTACTAAACAATCCATGTGATAATTCAATCCTTATGGGAAATTGAGTTTCGAGAAAGTTGAGAATATAGGATTCTTTATTATATTTGCACCTAAGTAAAGCATTTATTATATCTACTTTTTGTTTACTCTTTCTGAAATAATATTCCTGTCTTGAAATACTTTGAATGCATCATCATCCTTCATTTACTACTAAAAAGGAGGTATAGCAATGTACTTTTAAACAACAATAAATTACTGTAAAAGTTAAATTTCAATAAACAGAAAACAACGTATTCATTCAATTAATGTGACCTTATAATATTGAAATTGATTGTTTTCAATATAAGATCTTTATAAGCCGTACATAACCAACACGATCTACAATCCTACACGAACAAATATTTATTCACGAACGGGATGCAAATTTGTGAAACCACGAAAAACCATTATCAGCTAACTACACGGTAACTCGCACGTTTATAACATTCTCAACAATCTCCGCATTTACCGCGTTACACGTAATTTCAATCGTTCCCGAAGTTATGCAAAATTTTCCGATTGTCTTTCCAATTTATGATATTTACTCCATCCCCGGAGTTCCGTAAACCCAGGGATGTTGTACCGCCTTAAATAAGAATAAAATTTGATTTTGACGGAAGTCGTTAATAAGGATTGTCCCACGGCGGGCGTGGACCGGTGTACTTCGGAAACTTAGAGCGAATCCCAGCGCGGAAGTTACGGGGAAACTATTTTAATTATTAGCCGGTCCGAGATTGTTCCTTATCCAGCGCCGCGGACAATGAGGACTCGATATCGGCTCATTGTTTCTCACGAGAATCTTACCGGACCGGCGCTATTAAGCTTAATTGTCCCCGCGGCACAATGCAGTAAACTTTGGGAATAAGTAACACCGCGTAAGTATCGACAGGTGTCGCTAATAAATGTACCAAGTTGCCTTTTAAAGCTGCAGCTGAAACAACGGGCCGCGACTCGGATTCTGTTCGCTCGAAATTTTACGACGCACGCGATTTACGGGACATTAGAAGGTGTTTGCGCAATTTGCTGCTCGCATTGAAAGGAAGGAAAATACACTCTACGTTTAGGATGTGGCTATAGCTTTTCGCACTCCGCCAATAGAGAGCTAGCGCACCGAAAGCTTTTCTCGCTCCTACCCAGTCGTTACACTATTTGTATATAATACATCTGTGAACATCTAACACTCGTCCCAGCGTTAATGTGTGCAGGTTTTTTGAAAATTTCTCTGCAACTTTTTGCTTTATGCATAGTCTGATAACCTAACTTCTCTCTCCCACAATTATCTAATTATCTTTTATATTCTGTTTCAGAGTTTTACGGAAACATACCCGAGGCAATTCTCTTTTTTACTTTTTCAGGTAATCACCGATCAGGCCCCGCCTGATAAAAAGAAATGCACTCGTTCAAGCGTCTAAGACATGGATATATTAGAACGTCTTACTAATGTTTCCAACGACCAATTACTACAAAATCAAAGTACAAATAAGACAAATAATATGCAATTGATTTCTCAGATGCAGTACTGCATACGAGAAATGGAGAACTTTTTAGAACAAGGGCAGATAAATCTATTAAACTTGTAGATAGGAAGTGCGCATACGGAAGCATAGTAGACAAGACATTGTATATATTTATTACTACTACATGTGTAAAATGTACAGAAATTTGTTATTATTTCTAAATAAAAGAATGCCTTACTGGTCCCGGATAAAACGCTCACTTCCTCTCTCCTAATTTTTTTAAACTTCCACCTGCTTTCAGTAATTTAATAGACCTCTTTAGGGAAAATGTATTCGATGCCAAGAGGTAAGTTTCATTTAACCTCTTGTCCTATGATTTACTTTTCGACTATGATCGATACAATTACTTTACCGTTTATAATTTATTGAAAAAAAAATAGAAAAATTCTAGACATATCCTACTTCTACGGTTGCTCCGAAGTATAATTATTGATAACACAAGAATAATATTTAATTGGAATTTAAAAGAATCGAGTACCATTTATCCTTGTTAAATTCTTTTCAAAATCTTCATCATGAGTCTGGCACGTTGTCATAAGGTAAGAGGTTAAAATGGACACATTTATACATGGAGTAAGAACATTATAAAAGAAGTGATGAATAATTTTTAGCGTATAATTTTCATCGCACATATATGGATAGAGTTAAATTGTGAAATTCAATTTTTTTGACATGAAAGTACAGCAAATTAACAAAAGAAATCAAACTGTACGAATGTAATATTTGTTCAGTTGATTTCTATTGAATAATGTTCAGAGTACAAAGGATTAACAGTCCAGTATGTAAGGTTTGCCTACCGCTTTCCATAGAGTGCACGAATAACGGAAATGAAATAACTATGAGGGACCGACATAGCACTTAACGCGGTAAATGAGAATATACCTACCAATAATAATAATAACGAAGATAATCTAACGATTTTTCTCACAGCATACGCGTCATTCGACTTAATAAGTAAAAGTGTATGTTGCGGCATTGTTAAGGGTTACTATAAGTAATATTCTAAACTCGCTAATCTATTTAATAATACCAATTATTAGCTAAACATTTCTTCTAGATTTCACTCCCGCAGCCCGAATAGCAATCAATCCTAAGCGCATCGAAACGGATTATTAAAATCCATCTAATATTAGAACGATTCGTGTATAGTGGAAGTTGCTTGGACTTTTCGGGGCGGCCGCAGCTCATATAGCCCGCGCCACGTTTCTTCGGTCGGAAGTTTCAAATGTCCGGCAGGAAATCAATTCGATTCTCGAGCAATTTCGCGAGTTGCACCGGTTTCGATTCAATCAAACGATAAGCATTCGCGAAGTTATAATCAAATTCTCACCGCGTTACGGATGTAACGAGACCGATAGGTTGGGACGGGTGAGCCGAATTTGCCAACGGTGCATGTAAACTTCGTGGGTTGAGAAACTTCGCGCAACCGTTCGACAAAGTTGCAGGGGGAGGGAAATCGTGATTAAAGCGTGTTCGTCTGTGCGCACGTTCACATGTACGTTTACGCGTGTACGTGGAAGCGTATGTGTCTTCGGAGGATCAGTCTCGTGGCACTCTTCCCCCCGATTTGATCAGCATCTGCGGTCCAACGAATACCAACGGATCGTTGTTTGATGTCAATTTACGATTCAATTAAACGCCGTTTGATTGGCTCACGATCAGCTCTATCGGTCGTTAGTCAAGGCAGCCCTTAACAGATCACTACCAGCTGTCTGGCATTGTAATTTGGAACATGAGCTATGCCCTGTTTGCGACTTGTCAACACACTTCGGATCCGGTGACCCACTCGTGGCCGGCCACACTTTTCACGATACGCGCAAGGACCTTGGCCCCTTCCATTCCGATCGATGTGATCGTATTATGTATTATCAATTCGTGAATACTATGTAAATATGAATGAGACGTGTGTAAATAAGTTGTTGCTCTGAAGGATCTTTTTTGTTGAGAATTTTGGTTTGAATATTTGTTAGAATTTTGGATTATTTGTTGCACATTAATTAATTTGATGGTTAGAATTGAATAGATTTTAAAAGAATTGACGATTATTATATTATTTCAATCTGGAAAGATTGAGACTTTGAATAGGAGATTATTTCAAATTAATATTATAAAGTGTCCACCTTCTTTGATTGTTTCTTTGCATTTTGCGTTTTGATATATTACTTTACGAATAGAAGAGTTCAATGTAAATATATTTTTTGAACTTATAGGTTTATTCATTGAAAGTAAAATCGACTGTCTAACACAACGATAAAGCTGATTAATTATTCTGCCCGACAAAGCAGAACATTTAAATTTACTTCGTGCCTTTGGAGCTACACAATATTCGTTTATTTCAAAATAACAGGTCAAACAACGCAGTAGTTTTCAAAGTTCGCGCACATGCGCTACCGATCAAGATATTTCGAGTCCCTCCATGAACTGATGGAAACAGATATATACTTACTAACTCGACAAACTTACGCTTCTATAAATACCCATATTAATTAAATTAATAATAGATGTTAACTGGGTCGCTCTTAATGAACGTTTCCAAAAATATCAGCTTTTAGACAATAGGGAACTGGTCGCGTATAATTATACTGGTTACCAGTAACAGCAACTTCAAACTTCCAGCCGGTGGGTTATTTACGCTTTGTTTAAATGTTTGTACGTTAAACTCGAGCACCTTTGGAAATATCTTCGTTAACCGGCTGTTTCTTGCAATAAGAACAGAACGGACATCATGAACTGAGTTGGCCAGTAATTATTGTGCGATCGATGCCGCCGACGAGCATTGAAGTGAGGACCGTGTGGAGCTTGTGGCGATACTAGGGCGGTCAAGCAATTTAGGGTATTGCCACGTAACTCAATATTGCCGGCACTCACCATCCATTTAATAGGCTGATCTGTAGAGTGGATCGGCAGGTTTGGGTGTCTCACTTTATTGAGAAGGCACGATGCTTTCGAGTGGACGTGCTCCTACTTGACAATAGCCCGACTCGCCATTTCGGACAATATTTTCTGTACCGTCCGCCTCGTTCGTATTTGATACTTCCTCGAGTCCCGGGCTCGAGTTTTATCGACATCGGATTCGTCTTACTTTTATATACAGAGTGTCATGTAACTGGTGATATAACTGGATAGGGGCTGATTGTATGTCAAAATATAAGTCGAAAGTATGCAATAAAATTTAAGGCTTTGTTTTCGAGAAAATCGATTTTGAATATTCGCCGAGTACTTGACCATGTCTCGTTATTGAAT